AATAGCTGTTGGGCAAATCAGTTCTTATGGGTCTTAATTCTACTGTTTGCTATTGTTTTTCTATTGATTCTTTCTCACGGTGTTTTCTGCTTCTGTAGTTGCTCACAAAATTCAGTGGATCTTTACCTGTGGGATTCCTAAGTCCCTGTGTTGAGGTTGCATCTTTTCAGAAACCATTTGTGCCCAAGGACCACTTTCTAACGTTAGTTAGACCACTTTCTAATGTTAGTTCTTACCAGGCAGGACACTGAAATTCAGATCTTGTACCCACTGATCACAAATTCATAGGGAAGGTCCCTGCCCACATTATTCCAACAGGCAAGCTTTTTTTGACAAGGTCTTCTTTGGCAGCAGGTTAATTTTTTCTAGTTTCCCCTTTTGCTGAAGCTGTGAGCTCCTCTAGGGATCTCAATTCCAGCTTCTAACCTTGTATAGGTCCAAGGTTTTATCTTTTCCACCCTTATAGTAATTAAAACTTAGGCCCCTTGTTTACTGCCTCCCCTCTCTCCCCAGGGCAGCCAAAGCCAGCCCCATCTTACCACACCGATTTTCAGTGATCATTCTCTTACTCTCTTGCTCCTTTGTATAGACAAGGAAGCTGATTATAGTCTATTTACCATTTCTAAAGAAAAATGTTCTTTCTCCTGTTTCTAGGAGACAGTTTTCAGGTTATCTAACTGACGACACAACTGCACATAGAAATCTGGGCAACTTACTGAGCCTCGCTAAACCTGTTTTCTCACCTGTAAAATGGGAAAGAGGACTGCTGAGAAAACAAATAATGAAAAAATGTATGTTAAGCACTTAGCCCTTTGACTAGTACACAGAGGTACTCAAGAAATGCTAACTATGAAATTACTTTTATTGGCAAACCTTAAATTTTATAATCACCCATTGAAATAAACAAATTCAATCTGACAGGAGTGGGTTTTTATTGTGCTTTGACTTAAAGAATATAGAATACTAATCTTCCAAGTAATTATGGAGCGTAACCCACACTGATAATGAAAGTATGTTGTTAAAAAAATCCAAATCTATTAATTAGAGCACATTTATAGACTTCTGATTTGCCACCTCTATTTACTTTGTGGTTTTAACTAAAATTAAAATATCTGGGGAAAACTCCCCAGGTTGGTAACTGAGACAAGTATTCTCTTTTAAGTCAAATTTACTGACTAATACATGTTTTGGACTATAAGCTCTCAGAAGGCAATAGCTATTCAGTGTGTTTGTAATAATACCCACTCTAGTACCTTGCATACAGGAGTATCTGTTAAGTAAAAAAGGACTTCCCAAACATGACACTTAAGTAAAAAACAAAACCAAGAAACTTGAGTCTGACGTATAACTGTTGTATGACCTGGGGCAAATCACTTAGTGACTATCACCTGTTTGTTTCCTCATCTCTAAAGAAATCTGGCCTTCCTACTTCACACACTGGTTACTTATGAGGAACAAATTAGCAGGGCATCTATAGGTATATGGAAGTCCTTTGCATACTACAATGTACTATAATTCAGTAGAGTACTATCAAAGTGTGTTAAAAATGTAACAATATCCTAGTCTGTTCATGGGCATCATTTTCAGAGAGAAACATAGAGAGGTAAATTTCTCCTCTCCAGTCCTATGAATTACTACTGTAGTCATTTTCAGGCAGGGCCCTCTGTGAGACAGCACTCTAAATTCAAACTTCATTCAACACAAGCCAGTCAAAGTAGCTTACTGTGTTTTGGGGTCATTATGTGGTCTATCTGGTCATCTGTGTACCCTCAAAATGCAGTGTAGGGTGAGCCTACATGGGTGCAGAAGAAGCTTAGAGGGGAAAAAAATGTATGCTGTAGTTTTTGCATTGTGTTTATCCGTATGAATGAGTAACAGCGTTACACAAAGAACCCCTACAAAGAAAGAGCTGAGGTAATTGCCTCATGACATTAGTAAATGATTTCAGCACATAAAGAGAACTGGATGGCAGTAATTCAAGCAGTTTAAAAGGCTCTGAAAAAGGCCACAGGCACTAAAAGAACCACAGATTGCTACCAACTTGGAGAATTTAAATTTTCCAATCCACGAGGCAGAAATTAGTATATATATAAATAAGCAAATTTTAGATTGACTACCATTTTATTATTTGAGAAGGATTTATGAACAAAAGACAAATTATCTCTCAAGCTAACAATTTACCATATCTCCCAGACTACATGATACAACGCATAAAGCCAAGATTTATGACATATTTTGCTCCTTATATCCTTTTTATTAAATCCCTCTAAAAACAGCTCTAAACCTTCACCAATTCAGTAATTCTGATAGTCATGTGTGTGTGTGTGTGTTGGGGGGGGGTTCCCAAAGAAGCCAACTGGCCGGGGCGCTCCAGCAGGTACCTTAGAAACTAGGTCCACATAGCATAGCACGTGCAGGGTAAGGGCCCTGACTAGAAACATGCTTTGTGATGCGTGTGTTGTGTGACTGCCTGGATAGTGCACAAAGGACAACACAACTAAAACACTGAAATTTGAGGTGAATTTTGCCCTGCAAGAGTGGCTCGACTTTTCTAGAAAAAAGTCATAGCAAGGTCATTTTTATAGCTGCCTAGAATCTGTTTTTTTTTTTTTTCAAATCAGCCTAAAGCCAGCAATAATTAACTTCAGTTTTCTTCTTCCTCTCCATCCCTGGAGCCTCAGCATCTCCTTTAAACTTCAGAGTTTCAGGGGCTACTGGAGTAAATATGCAAGATAAAATCTACCAGCCATCCCTGGGTTAGGCTGTACTGGGTTTGGGGACATAGGATTAAACTGCAATAGCCACATCTCTAACAGCTGGCTCTCAGATGCTTGGAGAGAACAGAATCCAAATCCTAACTTGGAAGAGCAAATTCCATTCCCCAAAATGAAAGGTGCTAATGGAAGCCTTACGATCCAGTTCCTTCCACATTGCCTCATACTGGGGCAGAGTATTTGTCCCAGGCAGGTGCTGCATCAAGCTCCATCTCTATACGGGAGTTGCATGAGATATCAATGTGTAGGGTACTCTCAATGTTTCTTCGTGTTGGAAGAAAATTCCTCTTTTATTTGACAACACTCATGTCCCTATGAGCACATTAACGTCTCTCAGATACTATTCAGAGGTCCCTGGAAGAGGAGATAAGTGGACAGGAAATCTTTTTATTACTCTGTTCTGCTAGATAAAGGTCTTAGGAGAGAGGATGGAATTTTTACAATCATGAAATTATTAAAACACACAAGGTGATCAAGAAGATTATGCCCCATCTTTAAGGCTACAGACAGAGCAGAACATTAATGTTTAGAAACACAGGGGCCTGTGGTGCATTCCAAAGGACTATGGTCTCAATTCAGCAATGAACAGCCATGATTTGTTTCTAGAGTTGGTAAATTCCCCTCGGGCGATGACTTTTGTAAAGGGACAGAAAAGCTTTCCATTCCTTCCAAGCATTCCTGTGCTGCACTCTCACATTTCACTCAAGGCCGTGAGAGCAGACTGTTTACTGTGAAACTGCATCTCCTCAGAACAGCTCTGGAGAGACTGTTTCTAAGATCTCCGAGGCACATTGCTCCCTACCCTTTGCCATTTACTACAGCTGAACCCTCAGCCGAGTGGCAGCAGAATCTGCCAGCAAGGAATAGCTACTGAACTGAGAGCCCCCTTTGTCCACGAGGACCCAACTGGTGCTGGACTAATGCGGAAGGGAAGCCATCCAAGATTCTGAATGAGTGGGCTGGAAGTATGCACCACTATAGGCACAAAACGTCTCATTGTGGTGGTCTGCTAGAGGTATCTCCTGTTACGTTTTGAGAAACACTTGAAGCCACAGAGCTATTTCTCTTTCAAACATATTGACATCACAGATGGAAAGAAAAAAAGCACACACAGTTATTGAGCCCACAGCACACCCCGATGCTCTGAGAAGTTAGCCAAAACCTAGGAGAAAACTATTAATATGAACCTAGGCCAGGGAACAGGATCAGTGTGAACAGCTCAGCTTGACAGCTGTGAATTAAAGTCAACCACAGCAAGGTAACCTTCCTAGGAATCTCCCCCAAAAGACACGCTAAGTCGCTTAGCCCAAAACAGTACAGGAAACGTTCTTCCCCAAAGATTTCATTACCAGGAATGTGACAGTAGAAAGACAGACACTATATTGAGGCTCTGAAATAGATTTACTATGTTTAGTCTCAGAGGCCTACACCAAGATCTTGTCTGGGATTTCATTGAAAAAAAAGTTTTTTAAGGTTTTAAAAAACTTTGGGAAAAATTCTGAATAAATAAGACAACTTAAAAGTTGTTTCAGTTGTTCCTCAAATATGAAATTATAGCTCTTAAAGTAACTTTGGGTGGGGGTAAGGCTTCCAAGTCTGAGAGATGTGGATGGAATTTTTAGTTCCCGCAGATCTCATGATCCCATTATAAAAAGTGGATTCTTAAAAATATATAAACACATACAAAATATATTAATACACATATATAAATACACTTAACATATGTTTTTCAGGTTTATTGTGACTTTGCATTGCTCTCCCATCATCTTTTATGACATAAAAAATTTGTCCCAAGTCCATATATTGCTATGACTGTTAAAGAGACAAAGCATCTGACTGCAGAGTAGAAATTTATTAGACGTGTATGACTGTGCATGATATTTTGGGTATCACTGAGAAAAGTTATTTAACCACAGAATGGTAATATTGTATATCCTAAACTTTGATCTGTATTTATTTATGACTACGTGAGTTTTAGGGTTATAGCAAAGAAATGCTAGAAATTCAGAAGGACATTTTTTTAAAAAACAGCTTTACTCTTAAGGCATCTTTTTGTTTGTTGGTTACGAGGAGACAATCAAAATGTGCCGCCTTCAGTGTGTACTCTTAAACACCTCTGATGACGAGGAGTGAGTTCTGGGTCCTACCCCAGAAAAGAAGCAGCAGAACTTATTTCAGAAACATCAAAGTAGTACCTGTCAGAGAGAAAGGTTCTGATAAACCTACCAGGAGGTGTGCAGGCATCTGCAGGAGACTGGACAAATGTGGACCGCCTTTTGGTTGGCATGGGCAAAGCCATTTTCTGTTCTTTATGCTTTGCCAGTGCGGCTTGAACTGCTTCTGTGTGGATATCTGAAAGATTAAACATTTGCATTTATTAGCTCCTGCCTCTTAAAGTGTTTACTTCTGTGAGCAGAACTATCGTTGCCTCAGTCGTTGAAAAGGGTTGTTTAGGTGACTTTCACTTCTCATTTGAGTTACAACAATTAAAAACAAAAATGGAAAAGAGACAAAAGAAGAAGTCAAGGATAATTTACAGAGAAGGAAAATGAAGCCCCGAATGACGATGAGACAGCTTAACACAGCAGACAAGGCGCTAATGGAGATAAGGGTGGGGGGTGGAGACAGAGGAGGAGTCTGACATGCACCTGTGCCAAGTGGGGATCTCATCCCTGATCGGAACAAGTCCTGTGTGCAGGTGCCTAGAGGACACTCTCTGCTCTTCAAGCTTAGGATCTGCTGAACTGTCTGAAAGGTGTTGAGACTGCTCGTTCTACACCATATGAAGAGAAGAGCTGATTTTGATCCAGAAAATATAAGGGGTGATGGGACTTGTTTGCCACTTTGATCACAGAAGAACTCAGCTCTCTGCCTGAATGTCTAGATGACATCTCAAAATTAACATATCCATACAGAACTTTTGATTCTCCACTCCCATCCCCAAACTCACTCTACATTTCTACAAAATAGGATCATACTATACACAGTATTTTGTACTGTGCTTTGATTTTTTAACTCTTATAAAATCCTACTGGGGTAGGTAACACCTGAGCTGGCTTCCTAGTTACCAAGGATTTCCTCTTCTCAAGGAATGGGCCCAATCTACATATGTAAATGATCCTTAAAAGCCTGTCTGTGCTATGTAAATATGCCCCTTTTGAGAGCTGGACCAATCAGATCCTGTGTATGGAGTGGGTGGGTGGGAATAAGATTTAAACTCTGAATTAAGAAAATGCACCTGCTAGAGTGGAGTCACTTGAATGACAGTGCCCTAGAAAGAAGGAAAGTCCTTGAACTTCAAGGTTTAGATCCCCAGAGCTGTCTCTTCCTTCCTAGGGATTGCTCAGCTGTTTCTCTGCTTCTAAAATCTACCCTGGCCACTTAAGACAGCCTGAGTTGTCCTCTTTCATGCAACCGAAAAAACCTTCACCAATACAAATAGAAACGTCTTTCAGTGTAAAGGTAGGCCTATAATATAACTTTAAAAGGCTGTGTAGTATTTCACTGTATGAATGTTCCATCATTTCAAACAACCTTGTTTCCAAAATTTTTGCTACTATTCATACAACTATTCACAGCAAGAATAATTCAGTATTTTCACATTTAGCACATCTAATCCTATTTCTTTAGGATTAATTCCAACTATTGCTGAGATACATTTCCTAAGAACAAGGAAATACATTTTTCTTCTTATTTTAACCATAGTACATTTGTCAAAATCAAGAAATTCAAAACTGATACAAACTATTATCTAACCCACAACCCATATGCCAACTTAGCCAACTGTCCCAGTAATGTCCTTTATAGTCCCCTTCTCTTTTTTTTCTTCCTGATCCAGGACACAATAGAGAATCACATATTACATTTAGTTGTCATTCTCTTTATCATTCTATAATCTGGAACAGTTTCTCAACCTTTGTCTTTCATTATCTTGACATTTTTGTACAGACTAGCTATACTGTAAAATGCTCCTTAATTTTGGTTTGTTGATATTTCTTCATAATTAGGTTCAAGTTATGCATTTTGGCAGGAATACCATAGAAGTAATGCATCTTCTAATAGTGACTTTGATTACTTGGTTAAGATGGTGTCCGCTAAGTTAATCTACTGTAAAGTTACTATTTTTTCCTCTGTGTAATTAATAAATAATTAATGGGTGAATACTTTTGAGACTACGTAAATGTTGTTATACTTCATTAAACTTTCACCCACTAATGTTAGCATTCCTTGATGATTCTTGGCTGAATCAATTATTATTATAATGATTACACAATGATGGTTTCATAACTCCATCTTTCCTTCTGTATTTATTAGTTGGTATTCTGTTATAAGAAAAAGCTTTCCTTTCTCCACCATTTATTAATTTATATCAATTTGGACCTATCAATTCTCATTTTATTCCATGACTATTCTGTTACTAGCATTACTTATTTTGATAACCATATATCCCAGCTCTGGTCAACAGGAGCTCCTTCAAACCACCTTTTATGTCCTTTTGACATATTGCTGACATTTTAAGCATTCTTTGTTTCCTGGTACAAGATGATCCATGCTCATCTGGTACATTGCCTGCTCCAGCACTGGAATTACACATTTCTCTAAGTAGCTCTGGCTCATCTTAGTGGTGAATGGTATTTAGAAACCAAGATCTTAGAACCAGGAGTGTGTAGTGCTGTTGGGGTATCCTTCTTTCAAGCTCTTTCAGTAGATAAAGAAATACAAACATAAATATTCACACAAATACATCTATATCTATTTTCATCCATATCTACATTAGAAACAATGAGTTCATATTAATATCTCCAATTCCAATTCAACATCATAGAATTCATTCCAATCTTCCCCTTTTCCATTTGTAAACTCCCTTCTCTAACAGTAAAACCTGGTTCACAGTGTAATTAATACATTTTACTCATTCATTCAATCCCACAATACACAGAAAGTAGTTTCACAATTCATATGAAAGATAAATCTAACCAGAGTTCAGTATTTGTTTGCAGTTCTTTTTGTCTTTAGACTAATTAAATTAAAGTACTGTGTGCAAAAGCTATTTGAGTTAGTTCTTACCCCTTTCCCCTTTGGTGGTTGTATTACTCTACTGAATAACATAGTTAGGTTCCTTTCTTTTTCTTCATATCCCATAGGTCCTTCCCAAAGTTGTGGAATAAACATTAGGTGACATAATAAGAAATATACATTTGGTTTCCGCCTGGGTTCCTGACACTGAGTTCCTAAAATCCCTGTAATTTCCTGAGTGATAGGAGTGGTTTTTCTTCTAATGAGGTAACTCTTGGTGGGATCCTAGATAGTTTCAGAGATATGTTGAGATACTCAATATTTTATTATAAAACAGGCTTTGTGTTAGATGATTTCACCCAACTGTAGGCTAATATAAGTGTTCTGAGCACATTTAAGTTAGACTAGGCTAAGCTATGATGTTCAGCAGGTTAGGTGTATTAAATGCATTTCACCTTAGAATATTTTCATCTTACAATGGGTCTATCAGGATGTAACCCCCATGGTAAGTTGAAGAAGATCTGTACTTGTGATTGGCAGCTTAAGTGGGGGCAGTCTTGTGGGAATGAGCCTATGGAGTCTGCACTAACTCCAGGCAGTTAATGTAAGAATTTAATTAAATTGTAGGACACCTAGTTGGTACCTGCAGAGAACTGGAGAATTGCTTGGTGTGGAAAACTCACACATTCGATGTCAGGAATAGTGTGAGTAAAGATAAAATTTTCCTTTAATTAATATGGTTCCAAAAGTCAAAACTATACCAAAAGGTAAAGTTAAAGATGTGTCACTGCCTCCAACAGCCACTTCTACCCCAATTTCACACACTCTCAGTAGGTAACCAATCTCCTTATTGATTTATCCTGCCTATATTTCTTTTTTACAAAAAATAACCAGCTACAAGTCTATCTTCTCATATCCTCATCCTTCATATACACAAAAGGTAGCATACAATATACACCGTTTTGCACTTTTTTTTTTTACTTAACAATATACCCTAGAACTCATTCTGTATCAGCTATTAGAGATCTTCATTCTTCTTTTAAATCAGCATAGAAAAAAAGAAGTAAAATTGTTTCTGTTTGCAGATGACTTGTTCTTATATGTAGGAAACCCTAAAGATTTCACAAAAACATTTGGAACTAATAAACTCAGCAATTGTAGGAGAGAAAAATCAACATACAAAAATCAGCTGCATTTCTTGACACTAACAACAAATCATCTGAAAAAGAAAGTAAAAAAATAATTTATTTATAACAGCATTAAAAAAAATCCTTAGGAATAAACATAATCAAGGAGGTGAAACACTTTACACCATGAAATTGCACACTGAAAGAAATGAGAGAAGACACAAATAAATGGAAAGACATTCGCGTTCACAGGTTGAAAGATCTAATATCGTTAAAATGTTCATATTACACAAAGTAATTTAGTACAATTTCTATCAAAATCCCAAAGACACTTTTTGAAGAAATAGGGGAAAAAAAAAATCCTGAATGCATATGTAATTTCAAAGGACTCTAAATAGCCAAAACAATCTTGAGAAAGAAGAACAAAGCTGAAGACTTCACCCTTCCTAATTTCAAAACATATTACAAAGTTACAGTAACCAAGACTATGATATTGGCATAAAGACAGACATACAGAGTAATGGAACAGAACAGAGAGCCCAGAAATTAACTGTTGTGTATATGGTCAAACTGTCTTTGACAAGGGTATCAACACTATCCAATGGGCAAAAGATAGTCTTGATAGAAATAAACGGTGCTGGGAAAGCCAGAATATGTAGAAGAATGAAACTGAACCCTTATCTTTCACCATATTCAAAAATTAATCAAAACGGATTAAAGACCTAAACACAGGACATAAAACTATAAAACTCCTACAAGAAAAGATAGGAGAAGAAACTTCATGACCTTGGAATGGGTAATAACTTCTTGGAGAGGATACCAATAATACAGGCAACAAAAGCAAAAAATTGACACGGGACTACATCAAACTTTAAAACTTCTGCACAACAAAGGAAACAATTAACAGAGTGAAAAGGCAACCTACAGAATGGGAGGGCCTATTTACAAACCACGTATTAGATAAGGAGTTAAAGAATATATAAAGAACTCCTACAACTCAGTAACAACAAAATCCCAAATAAGGCAATTATAAATGGGCAAGGGACTTGAATAGATATTTCTCCAAAAAATATAAAATGGTTGTTTAAAAAAGAAAAAAACAGAAAATCTCAAGTGTTGACAAAAATGTGGAGAAACTGGAACTCTTGTGCACTGTTGGTGTGACTGTAAAAGGTTCAGCTGTTATGCAAAACAGCATGGAGGTTGCAC